TTTAGATGTCCAAACGTCAAAAAATAGATTTCTCTAACGTTTCTGTTTCTTTCTTTGAATAGGGAAATCGTATCCCTATAATCTCTCATTCTCTCCGCTCTTTCTTCTTATCTCTCTATTGTCCCTCCTCTGTTTTCACAGGGACAAGAGGAAGACTCTTTGACTCGAGATTTCCTGTCTTTTTTAATCTAAAATCATGTTTCTCGACAAAGGGTCAATGCAATCAAACCTCGATTGTTTCCTTCATTGCACAACTCCGCTGGTCCCATCTCAATCCCTCCCCAAGGTTTGTGTTTTTTTGTCTTGCTTCTGATGAGTTTATCTGCAAATTGAGTTGTGTGTGATTGTTGGCCAATTGTTTTGTTTGTGTTTTAGAGGGAGATTAGGAATCTAAACAGACTATGGCACCCATGGGAGAGAGACACAGTGGAGTATTTTACTCTGGGTGATCTATGGAATTTTTATGATGAATGGAGTGCTTATGGGGCTGGAGTTCCTATTGCTTTGGACAATGGTGAAACCTTGGTTCAATACTATGTGCCTTACCTCTCTGCTATCCAAATTTTCACAAGCAATTCTCCAGTCAACAGTTTCAGGTATCACTTTGTTTTCTTGGGTTTATGCACTTTTAATATTCCTCTTGAAATTAATGAACTATGTAAGTTATCATGTTAATTGATGAAAGAAGATCACAGAAGTGTTTCAAAATCCCAGATGCATTAGCTAAAAACTTATTGATTTTGTGACCAATACTGTTGCAATTAGCCCTTTCATTTGTTCAAGTTTTTTAAATTATGATTGTTGGAAGTCTGGAACATACTAACTGGGAGGGTGATTTATGTGAATTTTGAGTGTTCATCTTAAGCAGACAAGGCCTAGAAAGTAATGTTTGGAATGTTTTTGATTTGGTGTTTGTAGGGAAGACACTGAGTCTGGTGATGGCGAAACGAGAGACTCTTTCAGCGATTCGTGGAGTGATGATAGTGAGAGTGACAAGAAATGCAGGTGCGATGGCTGCTCATCAGAAGGAGGGTCAGAGCAAGACAACCCTTGTCCAAGAAATAATAGACTGGGGCGCCTATATTTTCAATACTTTGAGAGATCAACTCCTTATGGAAGAGTTCCTTTGATGGACAAGGTTGGTGTTTTTTTTTTGCTCTTGCGCAAATCTTACAGCTTGTAGCTTTTTTCAATCTACTTTGATTAGCATTTTTCAGCTTTAGTTTTTGAAGATTATGAATGATAAAGACAAAGCAAAACTATTTTGATTTGTTGAGAATCATTCCGCATCCTTTTCATGATAGGCATCTTGTAAAGAGGAATTGCAACTTTTGACTTTTGTACTAGAAAAGAAAGAACTGCAATGTCTTAAGCTAATAGATTCATATCTTTCGTTGTTTAGTTCATCATGTTGTTTCCTGAGCATATATTCGCACGTTCTATCGGAGTTGTCTCTTTTACTTTATACTGTTGTCAGGAAGAAGAATCCATGAGACCATCAACAAAATAAGTTCTTAAAACTGGGTTTGATTTTGACTATTAAAATGCACTAATTCCTCCACTTTGTTTGAAAGCTTGGATTCCTTGACACCTTCTTTGCCTTTTGCTTACAGATTAATGGATTTGCTCGACGATTTCCGGGTTTAATGTCATTGAGAAGTGTAGATCTTTCACCGGCTAGTTGGATGGCAATTGCATGGTTGGTTTCTCAATCTCTCTCTTACAGAAACTCGCACGACAAGCAATCAAAATAATTAAGTTAACTAAAGTATACTCAAAGGCATGGTTTCCACATTTAACATGGCGCCTAATTTGTTTATCCTGTTATTCAATTCATGGGAGTTCCCTGATAAGCTTCAATGAATCATTATTCTTCACACCCATCGGCATGTTTATATTAATAACATCGAAGCATTTGTGGTCAACTATACGCAGGTACCCTATCTATCACATTCCAATGGGAAGAACCATAAAGGACTTGTCTACATGCTTCCTCACTTACCACACCCTCTCATCATCTTTTCTAGGTACCTTTTCTAGCCCAATTCTCTGATCTTAACCTAGAGAGCTTCGAATATGCTGATTGATTAGCTTATTTAGTACGCGTTTAATGTATGTTTATGCCTTCAGATATGGACGTAGAAGATGACATTGAGAGTCCGGAAAAGAAGCGAAAGGAAGGGGAAAACATCACTCTCCCTCCATTTGGTTTGGCCACTTACAAGATGCAAGGGAACGTGTGGGTCTCAGGCAATTGCGGTCGGGACCAGGACAGGCTAGTGTCACTTTTAAGCGTGGCAGATTCATGGCTAAAGCAACTATGGGTCGAGCACCATGACTTCAATTACTTCACGGGGACGCGGCGTGGCCAATACCATAACTTAAAAGATTTCACTTTTGAAACTTCCCCTTAACAGGGGGATTAATACTAAAATCCTCCTCTTTTTTGTTGGATCTCCGGCGTGGACTTTGTGTCTGAGGACTCTAGCTAGTTCTTTCTCGCAACCAAGCTCAATTTCTAGCCAGTCAATATTGATGAGGCTACTCCTCTTCTTTTGGCTGCTGTTTAAGTGGTAAATGGGGCCTCGTTATGTGTAGAGTGATGGTCGAGGTCCTTGAGAGATGGTGGGATTAGAGGCTCTCGAACTTCGAACTTTCTTTTATTGTGCAGCACACTTTTTCTTGACCATCATGAAATCGTTGAAAGTGAGGAGATTACTGATACTTTTGCAAGCTTCCTCCATGTCTCTACACCTTGCATGTGTGTGTATGTGCTTTTGGATTGTCCGGCACAGCACTCAGCACTCTCTCTTGATCATTACTATAAATCTATTGTTTTCTTGCATCATGAATCACCATATAGTGGCATATTCTATATGTTTGATGACAGCCATATGTTCATCTTGGAGATGGACTCTGATACTTGTGAATTTGGCCTCTGGGAAAAAATAAAGCCAAGAATCTTCAGAAAATTTCATGTGCATTTCAGTGGCATGTTCCCCTCCTTCCCTGTCAGATTGATTGGACTAGATAGCACAGCCATTAAATCTAATCTGGCCTCAGGCATCATGATAGACGTGACCCGCGCTCGATCAC